AGAGACAGATGGAGGTGGAATTCTGGGGAAGGCAAACAGGGAAGGGAGGGAGGACACAGCGCTACCCCATCCTGCCTGGTTCCCGCCTGCCTGGCACGAAACAAGCCCATATGTGGGTGAGAGGGCAGGAGGCTGCAGCCAAGGAGTGCCAGGCAGGGCTTTGCCAGCGTGGAGCAAAGTGCTATCCCAAAACATCCCTAACCCAAGCTACCCAGCAAGTCAGTCCCCACCTGACCTGCCTATGTCCCTCAAGCCTCAGCTGACCCTCATATGCCCCACAGGAGCAGCTGTAAACCTGACCCTCGTCACCCCCGAGAAGGCCATCAAGCTGGCAGCTAATGACTTCTTCAGACATCAGCTCTCTAAGGATGGGTGAGAGGCTCGGCCACCCTGGCTGCTGGGGCCCGGGACCTAAGGAAGGGTGTGTTGCTAATCCCATCCCTACCCAGCAGTCCCCTAGGCTGGTATCAGACCCTCAGAGGCTCTTCTACCTCAGTCCCTTTGCTCAACATCCCTGACCTTGTGAGGGCGGGCACTTCCCTGCTGCCCACGTGAGGAGGTGCAAAGCAGCTGCTGAGTCAGTGGCTGTTGGCCCCTAGCCACTGTCTGCTGCCAGAATTTGGGGGCACTAAGCAGCCACCCCATCACTGGAGTATAGAGCTATAAGACTAGCCCCTTCCATTTCCCATTTCTCTTTATCAGCCCTTGCATATGAGATCATCTGTCCTTTAGGCTGGATGCCTATTGCTGGAGGCTCAGGAGCCCAGGGCTGTGCCCCTATGGGGCCTCCACAGTTCCCATCCCCCTTTACACCTCTGAAGCAGTCAGTCACTGCCCCATGTAGGGAGCTGTGCCTTATCACCTTGATCACAGCCCTGCCCCTGCCCTGTAGACAGAAGCTGACCCTGCCGAAGGAGATGTTGGCAGGCTGCGGGGCTGGCACCTGCCAGGTGATTGTGACCACCCCCATGGAGATGCTGAAGATCCAGCTGCAAGATGCAGGCCGAATTGGTAAGGTGCAGGGAGGGGACACAGCCTAGGTGGGGACAACAGCTAGACCCTGTCCCCTGACCCTTCCCCAAGCCAGGAGGAAGAGACCAGAGATCCTTTCTCACCAGCTGCTCAGAGGAAGATTCTGGCTGCCCAGGCTCAGCTCTCAGCCCAGGGAGGTACCCAGCCCTCAGTAGAGGCTCCTGCTGCTCCTCGGCCCACAGCCACCCAGCTGACCCGTGACCTGCTGCGGAACCATGGCATTGCTGGCCTCTACAAGGGACTGGGGGCCACACTACTCAGGTGGGAAGATGGGCCTGTGGGAAGAAGAGGTCTGCGGGCTAGCCCCTACCATCAGCATCATCCCCCTGCCTCCCTCCCTCCCCACAGGGATGTTCCCTTCTCCATTGTCTACTTCCCCCTGTTTGCCAACCTGAACCAGCTGGGCCGTCCATCTTCTGAGGAGAAGTCACCTTTCTATGTGTCCTTCCTGGCAGGCTGTGTGGCTGGGAGTGCAGCCGCTGTGGCTGTCAACCCCTGTGATGGTCAGTGCTTAGGTTTGGGCCCCAGTAGGGGGGAGGGCAGGAGGCTAGGCCGCCATAATGACTCTCATGTCCCTTGTAGTGGTGAAGACTCGGCTTCAGTCACTTGAGCGAGGTGTTAATGAGGACACTTACTCGGGATTTCTGGACTGTGCCAGGTGGGGCCAGGACCCATGAGCTGGGGCTGGGCTGGGGCAGGGCTGGGCTGGGCATCAGTTCTGACCATCCTTTCTTTTGCAGAAAGATCTGGAGACATGAGGGCCCCTCAGCCTTCCTGAAAGGCGCATACTGCCGTGCACTGGTCATCGCCCCACTGTTTGGCATCGCCCAGGTGGTCTACTTTCTGGGCATCGCTGAGTCCCTGCTGGGGCTGCTGCAAGAACCCCAGGCCTAAGCCCATGGCTGCTTCTCCCCAGCCTACGGGCTGAGGCCAGAACAGGGTGACCAGCACAAGCCTGAGAAGCTCTGGTCTCTCCCCAGTCCTCCCCAACAAACAACAAGGCACAGCCTACGGGCTGAGGCCAGAACAGGGTGACCAGCACAAGCCTGAGAAGGACTGGTTTCTCCCCAGTCCTCCCCAACAAACAACAAGGCAGGGGGAGGGTGCAGGGTCCACATGGGTGGTGCACACATAGGCCCCCATGGGGTCCTGAGGGACAAAAAATTGGGATCAAGGTCTTATTTATGTAGAAAATGCAGAATTCTGTACATAGGCCAAGCCAGTCCTGTTGAGCCAGTCCTGTTGAGCCAGTCCTGTCCCATCCCTGTACCCCAACCCAGTCTCACCTGGCCTGAACACCCCCTGAGACAGAGCTGGTCTCTGGGCTGGGGCTCCCAGGCCTGGTTTGGACAGGCAGACCCTACCCTGTAGTCCACTGGCTCCGGTCTCCGAGGCTCTCCTGGTCTACAAACGGGACCCACCCACCCATACAAAATTATTTATTGAATTTGCTGTGCCCACGTGGCTCTGCCTGTCCTCCGTCCATCAGTCTGTTTGCCCCTGCTTCTCTTTCTGCCTCTACCAGGATCCCACTCTGCCTCCCCAGTTAGCCTTACAGGAGGACTGGAGTGTTCTGTCCTCATGTTAAGCTAGGATTCCCAGGCTGGCTGTGCGGCCACATCAATTCTGATCCCAGGCATCCCGCACATACTCTTCCTGGTGTGGGACCCGGAATGTTGAGGTCTTTGTGTGCCTATGATGGGGCAGGTTGCCCTGCCCCCCCACCCCCTCTTGCAGTCGTCTGACCAGGCTGCATGGGGATAGGCCCTTAAGGGCACAGTTGCCTTTCCCTATGGAGTCAGGCATCCTGTGCTTGTGTGCTGTGTATGCCTCAGGTCTTCTGCTGACCCCGTCCAATAATTTAGTTCTCCAGCCTGGTGGCTCTTCTGATAGAGTCCTACTCCTGGGCAGAGATTGCTTGTGGGTAAAGGGTGGGCATGAAGGCCAGTGTGGCGCCTAGGCCACCCAGCTTTCTGGGCCGCTGTCCATATTTGGAAAGCCCCACCCCCATCCCCAGCCCTGGATCCTCTGTTCTGAATCAAAGCAGCCCTCTTCCCCTGCCCTGGCCATGTGATTGTGTTTGGTGATTGACTGAAGTGCTGGTGCTGTGTCCCTCAAGCCCGACCCCCTCCGTGGAGGCCCCTTCCCAGTGACACTACCTGGGGCTCAAGCCTGGGCCTCCTACTTCACGGTTGCTCCTGGGAGCCTCCCCTCCTATCATGTCTGTACCTTGGAAGCTGCTGCTCCTGCTTAAAGAATTATATTTTTTTCTTTTGAAGAGTTTAAAAAGTTGTAACTTTTTGTGTCTTGTCATGTAAAAGATAAATAAATATTCTAAATAGATGCTTGCTTTCAGAGTCTGTGCATGGGTGGGACAGTGAGGACAGGGTGACACATTAGCCAGGCTCTCTCCTCTGCAGACTAGCATTGCCCAGGTCTCCACCCTTGCAGACCCACTCTGGAACCACCTCCTTCCTACCTCACAGTCTGGATAAGGAAGGTGCAGGCAGGCAACCTTGCCTGGTCTTTTGGTTCAGCCCCCTTAGATGTGAGAAGTGGAGCTAGGCATCGTGATACCCTACCCGACCCCACCCCCGGGTTCCCAGGGTGGAGCAGGCAGGCGTGGCCCCGCTGACGCAGCCGCTGTCGCTGCTACCTGCCCCTCCCCTTGCCTCTGGTCCTCCCGGTCCTGCGCCCGGAGTGGTGCATTGTGGGAAACTCCTGAGCACTCCTCAGTATCCGCAGCCGCCGCCCGCTGTCATCCCACCCGCGAAGCGAGTGCGCAGCGAGAAGCTGGAGGTCCGAAGGAAGACGTAAGGCAACAGGCCCTTCCAAAGGCAGGCCGGGACGGGGAAGTGGGGTGGGGTTGGGGACACTGGGTCTGGTGGCCAAGCAGTAGAGCTTTGGCCCTGAAGGTCACCGGGGTTGTGGTGTGAACACCTTACTCTCCGGGCTCAGCAGCCCTGAGAAGAAGGCAGAAGAGACAACTGGAAGAATGGGATGTAAGTGAAAGCCAAAAATAACCCGGAGCAAATCAGCTCTGTACAAACTTGATGCCCAGTGGCTAAGGTCTCTCCAGAACTGTGGCATGGAGGGGACTCGGGTTTTCTAGTAGGTGGGCAGCATCTGGGTTTGTGCACTGGTCATCTCCATCATGATGTGACCTTCAAATGACCTTCATTGTGTTCATTTGCCTGGTGGGGGGCTTGGAGCTCGAGATCTGGCTTCTCAAAGTGGCTCCCCCTCCCTGCATACTGGCGGTTGTCCTCCCAGGGTGGAGGAAGACAGGTGGTCCTGGGCCTTCCAGACAGGAGCCACTGTGGGGCGGGGTTGCCAGGCTCCAGTCTCACCAGCTAGGACACAGAGAATCAAGGTGAGGCCTTTCTATAGCCTAGGGGCCCTATTCTCTGTCACCCCACTCTATGCTACTGCCAGGGACCCTCTTTGCTCCCATAGCACAGCCAGGAATGCTTGCCCTTGAGCTGGATGGAGCTGAGGCCTGCACTGGAAAGGGCACTAGATCTAAGCTGGGTGGGGCAGATTGCTGACCAGAAGCACAGGCTAGCAGATTCCCAAATGGCTTCTCTGCCTCCATTTTATCACTTTCTTGTCCTGATAGTCCTGGTGACCTGGATCCTCTCATTCTCCCCCCTGACAGGATCTGTGAACCCAGACTCTGGGCTCCTTCCCTGTCCTTCTCTTCCTCTCAGACTGTGGTCAGGCTGAGACCAAGGCCCATAGCATCCCATTCTGTGAAATAGCAACAAGCTCCCAAGATGGCATGCAGTGCTCAGCTGTCAGAGCTCACCATGATTCTTTCCTGCCTCCCTTCAGCAAACACTCTCTTCCAGTTTCCAGGGTTAGATCCATGGTAAGGAAGAGAGGGCCATTCATAAATAGATGGAAGGGACATCAGAGCAACAGCCAGCACTGGAACCACCCCCCCCCCCCCCCCCCCCCCTGGCTTCTCAGTAGTTGGAGGAGCTTCTCCAAGAATGGTCAGAAGCAAACAGAGGCCAGCCCAGGAAGCTGGGCTGGAGCTCCTCGAGAGTCCAGGGAATTGACAAGGGTATCTCCAAGGGGCAGGGGCAAGGCCAGGCAAGCTAAACAGAAGCCTTATCCCTGTTATCACCTCGTTTCTGTCTCCCTCTAGACCCATATAATGCCCAGAGGTGAGCTGTCCTGAGACACTGTGATCCAGCCGCCTGCCAGTCCCACAAGCCCCAAGTCAGCTGCCGACACAAATCGTCATGGAGTCCCGGGGAAAGTCAGCCAGCAGCCCCAAGCCAGACACCAAGATGCCTCAGGCCACAGCTGAGGCCAAGGCCACTCCAGCTGCTGATGGGAAAGCCCCCTCGACCAAGCCTGTGAAGAAGGACACCCAAACAGAGAAGCAGGAGCAACCAACAGCCCCTGGGCCAGCTACTACCAAGAAGACACCGGCCAAGGCAGACCCTGTACTTCTCAACAATCACAGCAACCTGAAGCCAGCCCCCGCAGTGCCCGCAGCCCCCAGCAGTCCTGATGCAACTTCAGAGCCAAAGGGTCCTGGGGACGGGGCCGAGGAGGATGAGTCCAACACTGGAGGCCGAGGCCCCTGGCCTTGTGAGAACTTGACCCCTTTGCTAGTGGCTGGGGGTGTGGCTGTGGCCACCATGGCCCTAATTCTTGGTGTGGTCTTCCTAGCCCGGAAAAAATGATGCCTGGTGTCCAGGTGGGGGGCACAGAGCCACTTTCTGTACAGACCTGAATATATAGTGCATGCAAGGTCCTAGATACTTATCTATACATACATACATACATCACACACACACACACACACACACACACACACACACACACACACACGTATGCTACATACATCCACGCAGCAGGAGAGAGATAGACAGTGAGCCCACCTCCACTGACCCCAGCACATTCTTTCCCAAGTCCTGGGGCAAGAGCTCAGCTCTGCAGTTTGCAGGAAGCACTGACATGGGGCAGAGGGGATAGCCTGGACTAAACAACTAAGAACAGATGCTGGATGTGGTAGATGGAGATAAGGGGCAGAGGGGATAGCCTGGACTAAACAACTAAGAACAGATGCTGGATGGAGATAAGTGGTAGAGTAGGCTGGCCCTGTAGGGACATTAAAGGGCATGACTGTTTTACTCTCCCCACTTCTCTTTTGTGTAGCTGGGGGCAGTCTGTCTGGGCCTGACGCAGGGGGACTGACCCAAGGTGGGAATTCAAATCTGCAGAGCTACCTCCACCCACTGTCTCTGTCCTGGCTGAGTGGAAACCCGAAGCTTAACAACTAAATTTGGGGTGGGATCCCCCCTTCCCCTTTTCCATATGTGCCCCAGGAGAGCTCCTGAAGCTAGGACCACCTTACTCCATGCCCAGAGCAGCATTTATTTTTCTTTTTTCTTTCTTTTGGAGGGGTGGGGGCCTGAAAGTCTGGCAGGGAGGTAGGAAATATGGAGGATCCACATTACAGTTGCGCCAGCCCAATACCCCTCAACAGACTGCCCTGCCTGCCTGCACCCAACATCCCCTTGAGTCTAACAGCGTATAAATGCAATAACACAGGTAGAGTAGAACTGCCCAGTGGGTGACAATCACCCACTGCCTGCAGGAAGACCTGCTGTGCAGCCCCTCCTTAGTGCGTCTGGCCCCAGCTTGCCCCTTGGTGCGGCTACAGTGGGCAGGTTTCCTTTCCAGAAGACTGAAGTGGGCTCTAAGGAAACATTGCCCTCACCTGGCCAGCGGCTGTAGGGACCTTGGGTCAGAGTGGAGGCTGAGTTTGAAATAAACTGTTACAATATAAAGGCTGGGCTGGTGTCCTCACCTGCATGGGGCGGGGAGGGGCAGAGACTTCCTACTTGGGTACGTGTGGGTCACAGATCCGTCATGTGGGCTTTCCAGGGAACAGGTAAGAATTCCTAGGTCCTCCTTCATGCCCTGATCGTTATGGGCTATGTGTACCCACAAGCCCAACCTACCCCTCCCTTTCTCAGGTGATACTTCTTTTGTTTTAAAGACTCTTAAAAGGGGCAGGTTTGATGATACATGCTTTCAATCCCAGAAGCAGAGGCAGACAGATCTCTGAGTTAGATGCCAGCCTGGTCTACAGAGCCAGTTCTAGGACAGCCAGGGCTACAAAGAGAAACCCTGTCTTGAAAAACCAAAAGAAAAAATAACAACAACAAAAACCTGCCTGCCAGCAAGGAAGGCTCCTGCATCCATGGAGTGCAGAAGCTGAAGTGGGGTTCCTTCTCTGGTCACTTCTCTTCCACAGCTCTCTGAGCCCATTTTGCCCCGATGTTCAGCAAGGGGAACTGCTCATGGCTCCAGCTGTGAGTAAGGCTGTAGGGCAGCGGGCTGTAAAGGACAAGGCTTATTTTGGAACATATCACCCTGGGCCCCTTCTCCCCACCCTAGGGGGCTATTGAGGCTGGCAGGCAGGAGCTTGTTGAGCACCTTCTCCTGGAGGCTTTCTTTGAGCTGGTGTTTTTTTCTTCCTAATTTCTTGGTGCCTACCCTCCTCAGAGAAGTCTCTCTGCCCACATAACACACATCCCATTAAACTCTGGACAACCCCAACAGGGTGAAGACATCCCAAATGCGCCACTTGTCCTTTCTCAGATCACTCTTCCTGGTCTCCCTTTGACCTCTTTCAACTCCAGGTTGGCACCTGCCTGAGACAGGGCTTCCTAAAGACAGGCTGCTGTGGACATGCTGGACACATGGTCACCTCTGACTCATTGGCACTGCAGGTGCTGAGGCTGCGCTGCCTGGACACTGGCTGACTCATCTAGTACTCACATCCGTCCATCCTTTGCCTTGCACCTTAAAACACACAAGCATTTCCAGGCCTTTTATTGAACTAGGAGGCAGCAGAAGTGACTGTGAGTTTCTGCTGCGGTGAACCACTGTGAGCTGGCTCTTTGAAGTGATGTTCTTCTCATGCTGTTACTCCTTTACAGGTTCTCTATTAAAGCACCTATAGGTTGTTTTTAAAATACTGGTGCCTAGGACTGGAGAGATGGCTCAATAAGAGCATTTCAGGGTTCCTGGGTTTGATTCCCAGCACCTATGTAATGGCTAACAACCATCTGTAACTGAGGTTTCAAGGGAATCTGATGCCCTCCACAGGCAACAGGCATACACATGGTACACAAACAAATACAGGCAAAACACCCACACATGTAAAATTAATTAAAATATTGGGGGCTGGTTAGATGACTCAGTGGTTAGGAGTATTGACTGTTCTTCCAGAGGTCCTGGTTTGATTCTCAGTACCTACATGGTGGCCTACAACCTGTAACTGTAGTCCCAGGGAATTGAGTTGGACATACATTGTATATATGCATATGCAGACAAAACACCCATACACATAAAGAGAAATTAGAGCCGGACAGTGGTGGCTCACACCTTTAATCCCAGCACTTGGGAAGCAGAGGGAGGTGGATCTCTGTGAGTTCGAGAGCAGCCTGGTCTACAAGAGCCAGCTCCAGGACACAGGTTCCAAAGCTACACAGGGAAGCCCTGTCTCAAAAAAAAAAAAGGGGGGGGATTAGATCAAGGTTGTCCACTGGTATGCTACTGGAAGGTAGCAGGAACATTGAGGGTGGAGCCTAGTAAGAGGATTTCTTAGCCAGGTGGTCATGGTGAATGCCTTTAATTCCAGAACTCAGGAGGCAGAGGCAGTCAGATCTGTGAGTTTGAGGCCAGCCTAGTCTACAGAGCAAGTGCCAGAACAGGCTCCAAAGCTACACAGAGAAACCCTGTCCAAAAAAAAAAAAGGGGGGGGCTTCTTGTCACCAAATAGTAGTTTATTTGTTGTTATTTGCCTGCCTGTTGTTGTTAATTTTTAAGTCAGATATGGTAGCATATATTTTTAATGCCAGCACTTAGGAAGTAGAGGAAGGTGGATCTTTCTGAGTTTGATATCAGCCTGGTCTACAGAGTCAATTCCAGGTCAGGACTACATAGAGACCCTGTCTCAAAACAAACAAAAAATTAATTGAATGTTTGCCTACATGTATGAATATGCAATGCTCATATACCTGGTGCCTATGGAGAGAAAAGAGCATCAGATCCCTGAACTGTAGTTACAAACTGCTGTGAGTGGCCATGTGTTTATGCTTACTGAGTCCTCTGCAAGAGCAGCCAGGGCTCTTAACCACTGAACCATCTCCCCAGCCCCTAGCAAGTGCTTTTAACTACTGAACTATCTCCCTGGCCTGCTTACATGTTTTGTTTTGTTTGTTAATTTGTTTTTGTTGTTGTTTTGTTTTGTTTTTTGTTTTTGAGACAGGGTTTCTCTGTGTAATAGTCCTGGCTGCGCTGGAACTCACTTTGTAGACCAGGCTGGCCTTGAACTCACAAAGATTCAACTGCCTCTGCCTCCCGAGTGATGGGATTAAAGGCAAGCACCACCACCCGGCACCTGATTTTTTTTTTTTTTTTTAATGCAGGATTTCAGTATGTAACCCAGGATGACCTCAAATCTATACCTTCTGCCTCAGCTTCCTGAGTACTGAGATTACAGGCTTGCAACACCATGCCTGGCTAAAAAAAACAATCTTATGAAAGGGTGGCAGGGAGCAGAGGTTAACTAAGGTATCAAAACTTAGGCACTGTTCAGTTTATCTACCTTGTTTTTCAATTTTAAAATTATATGTGTATGAACATTTTGCCTGCATATACGTCTGTGCACCACTTGCATGCCTGCCTGATGGTGAGAGGTCAGAATTACAGATGGTTGTGAGCTGCCTCAGACATGCTGGGAACCGAACCCAGGTCCTCTGGAAGAACAGCCAGTGCTCTTAACTACTAACGAATCTCTCCAGCCCTGATTTGTTTTGTTTTGAGACAGATCTCTTGTTGCTCTGGAACTAAGAAAACTAGACTGGCTGATCATCAATCCTTAGGGATTCTTCTCTCCCTGGTGCTGGGGTTACAATTGTGAGTCACCAGGCCTGGCTTTGTCTAGTTGTTGTTTTGGTTTGTTTGGTTTGATTTGGTTTTTTTTAAAGATAGAGTTTCTTTGTGTAGCCCTGGCTGTCTTGGAATTAGCTCTGTAGCTCAGGCTAGCCACAGACTCACAGAGATCTGTCTACCTCTGCCTCCCAAGTGCTCGGATTAAAGGCGTGTGCCACCACTGCCCAGTTTACTTCTTGTTCCTTTGTTTGTTTGATGTGGTTTCTGGGGATCCAACTCGGGTAATCTGGCCGAGTTACTTCCCCTTTATTATTCATTTTTGCATTCTAAGCCTTTAATGCTGCAGTTTATTGCAAATGGTTTCTCAGTGCAGCAGAGGTTTACCAAACATCACACTGTCCCTTTACCTTCTGGAATCTTGGTTAGGAGACCTTGCCATATTATCTATTATTTATCCAAGAATCTCATCTGTGGGTGATCAGCCAGGGCTCTCAGGGTGTTTCTGTTTCATCAGAGCCAAGATGGCCCCTGCTATCCACTTGTGACACCATCTCCTCTTGCTCTTAGTAGAGCCTGTGTAAGCATGCCCCTGCTACCTGTGACTGCAGCTCTGAGGTTCTTTCTTCACTTCCAGAGGGACCTTAGAACTAGGGAGCAAGATAAGCACAGAGGTTCATAGCTGTATTTTCAACCTTCAGGAGGCAGGGTCAGAGGGTGGAGAGTTTCAGACAGCCTTGGGCTACAACATGAGAACATTTTAGAACAAAAACAAAAAACAGAAAAGGCTGGACCCACTGGCTGGCACAAGCTACGGGGAGGCCAAGTCAGGAGGATAATAAATGCAAGGGTGGCCTGAACTATAAAGGAGAACTTAGTAAGATCCCCATGAAAATGAGGGTTGAGCTGGGCTGGGCTGTGGTGCACACCCGAGGCCAGCCTGGTCCTCAGAGTTCAGGACAGCCAGAGCTGTTACACAGAGAAACCCTGTCTGGAAAAACAAAAACAAAAATAGAAGGATTGGGATGTAGACTAGCAGTGGAGCACTTGCCTACCACGTGCAAGGCTTAAGATCCAATTCCAGCACTGAAAAAACAAACACCTGACCAGGT